CACTCAAATTTGTGAGGTTACTTTTAGCTTGCCTCACAAATACAGGTATTTACCAGCTACTCATATTAACAAGTGGTTGTTTGTATCATAGAGTTTACCTTTGTGCATCATTAGTCTGGGGGTTGGCACCCAATGGAGATCAAGTTATACCATACAAGATAGCCGAGACACTGCTTTGGCACCCTTGAAAACATTTTCTTTCAAACAGAAGTCTACTTGAGTAACATTTTAAAAGTACTGCTGTCTGTAAAAAACATATGGGCAGGTGATGTTTCAGATAAATAGCTCATCAGACATGCTTCTCCAGAAAAATCCTTCAAAGGCTGTTGCAGTGATTTGCAGCACTGCTGTTTTAAAGATGGCTGGCAAGTCCCCCTTAACAAATACAAGTACTTTTGAGTCTGAGGCAGTTCTGGCAAAACCCAGAGTCCTTTTATACCTCCACAAATGAGCCAGAGCTCTGGTGTGTTTAAGAGTGCAAAGTGACCGAGGCTACTTCCCTCCTTCAGGAGGCTAAAGGGAGATCATGGCAAGCTACAGCTGAACAGCTTCTGCATGTTAATGGGCATGATCAGGATTTTACAGTTGGGATTTTCAAAACAGAAGGAACACAAAACTCCATGAAGCCAAGGCTGATTTCAGTGCCTGGTTTCCAAACCCTGTTTGCAAATCCTGGCTGCAAACCTCAGGTGGTCTGCAGTCGGTGTTTTGTCTGTCGGAAGCATAACTTGCTTAGCCGGGCAGATTGACCCACTGTGCAATTGCATGCACATCACACATCCACAGGCTCACGTGGCACCAGCCTCCTGCTCATGCATATTCAGTGTGTGTTGCTCAGAATCATGCCATTGTAGTTGGATCTGGGCTATACTGTGCATGCACACACACATGCACACATGCTATCTGTGACACACCCAGTGCTTGCAGGACCCTTGGACTGCACCGGGACCTTTTATTCCTTCCCTATGGGGCAACTTTTCACTAAGGATTGACCAAAGCATTTAATTATTATGTCATTAACTCATGCAATGAGGGATCTCCTGTCAGGGAACAGGCAGCTACCCTTCAGCAAAGACTTGGACCACCATCTGCATTTTGTGACGCGTTGAAGGGCAGTAAACCCATGGGGTCAGAAAGTGTTTGAAGGAGTTGTTTGATGTCTTAATCAGTTTTATATGAATATAGGATGAGATGAAACTCAAAGCAGACACATAAATGTTGTGGACAACCTCATCTGGATTAAACTGTAAAAGGGCAGATTTAGACTAGATATTAGGAAGAAATTTTTCACTGTGAGGGTGGTGAGGCAGTGGCCCAGGTTGCCCAGAGAAGCTGTGGATGCCCCATCCCTGGAGGGGTTCAAGGCCAGGCTGGATGAGGCTTTGAGCAACCTGGGCTGGTGGGAGGTGTCCCTGCCCATGGCAGGGGGGTGGAACTAGATGATCTTTAAGGTCCCTTCCAACCCAAACCATTCTATGATTCTGTGATCTGTCATTTTCACTCCCATTCAGAATTAAAAAAAGGTGTGGAGGGGGTTGATGCACCCAGTCCTAGGTTCACCTGATGGTGAAGGAGCAGATTTCTCACGGCTTTGCCCCTTGGTGTCTAGCTGCAATGCCAGACACCCATGTGACAGGTGCTTTTGCTCTGGTGTAAATGGTTATAGGAGAAAATGGCACCCTGAGGAAGCCAGGAAAAGGATCCCAGCTAGGAAATTCAGCTCCCAGTGCAGCTCTGACTGCTTTTAAGGGAGATTTGTTTATGTAAGGAAATGTAGGACAAAAATACTGTAAAACCCATTGAAGTGACTGAAGCTGCAACGGAAGGAGCAAACATGGCTCTGACACATAGCTCAGGTGTTTTCAGCAGTGTTTAAATTCCGGGGGAACCAATACAGCTTAAATCCCTGAGGCCTGTTGGCAAAAATGTACTTTCTCCAAGGAACCATGGCTGGACCCCACAAGTCTCCACTGATTTTTAGCACTGAACTGTCCTTCTCCCCCTTCCCTGTCCAAGGAGTCATGAGGTTCACCTCCCTCCTGCACTCCCTTTTGCAAGGCAGTTTTCCTAAGGGAGAGGAGGAGGAACAAATCCTGCCTAAACATCTGGACACAGCAGCAATGCCACAGCTTGCTGTCCCTGCAAAGGAGAAGAGGAGAAGGCAGATTTGATTCCTGCCCTTGAAAATCCTAACTGACCTACTGCAGGCTGTGGGTGGGGTGGTTGTGTCCCTAGGCTGGACCTGGGCACCGGGACAGCCACGTAAAAATCATTCAACTCGTATCTCCCTCCTCTGTGCTGAGATTTTCCACCTAGCAGCTGGCACACATTTTTTCCTATGCACATGGGAATATTTGCCTCAGGTCTAAAAGACACAGGAATCCTCTCTCTCAGGTCTCATTTGGCTGGTGAAAGAGGCCAGCTGCCTTTTCATCTCCTCTCTTGCACTTGCACATATCGCCAGAACTGTGTCATTTGGCTTCTGTCCATCTTACTCCGAGTTGGGGCAGGTCTTTCCTTACCTGATACTGCTTAGTAAATATCCCAGTCATTTCATGGCAGAAAGGGCAAATTTCAGGATATACAGACACCTGGTCAAGGCTGTCTTGAGTCACAGAATCATCGAATCGTTTAGGTTGGAAAAGATCTTTAAGTTCATCAAGTGCAATCATTAGAAGTGGTTCAGCATCTTCCTTGTTGAGGGAGAATACAGCCCACTTCCAGTCTGCAGGAATATGAGCAGAAGATCCTAGAGAGAGGGCTTAGTTGCTCATTTTGGTTCTCATCATCAGTTGGGATTGACTCAGGGAACTCTACTGAAGTGGGCTTCTGTGTTTTTTGGCTCAGCTCTCATTTGTTTGTCTGTCTACTGCCTGTGTCCTAGGCAGTGTTTTTCCCTGGAGTGTGGAGTTTTTCTTTCATCAGCAGATCATGTTCCACGTACAGCATCCTGAGCTATCTCAACTGTGCTCATTCCATTTAACATGAAGGTATTGTGTGATATAAAATTTAAGTATCTCAGGAAGTGAGATTTGCATAAATTTTGAATGCTGTCCTGTGACAGAGGAATTTTTAAGCACAAAAATGATGGGGCTGTGAATAATACCTCCTGTCCAAATGCTCGCTGGTGAAAGCACATCAGTTGCTGTGCTGTGCTGCAGAATTTTGCAGTGCCTTGGCTGAAAAAGAGTATCAAAAATGGTCAAAACTGCATGCTTGTGCTTTTATAAGGATGGTTTTCGAGTCGCATACTCCAGCACCTCAACACTGTAAGCAATTCGTGGAGCTCCAGCTGCCTGCAGCAAAGCAGCTGGGTCTGCTGCTAACCTCCCCAATACTGGTGAATGCTCTGACGTTGCTGTAACTGCATTTTGCAGCATTCCCTAGTCCCTGCACCTGGGTTTCTTCAGGAAGGAGATCTGGAAAGACTCTGGCCTGGTCTCTGATTTGGAAAATCAGCACCCAGGAGCCCCAAACGCTGTCCCTTGGCTCCCATGCAGCCCATGGATCTGTTCGTGTGTGCTCATGATCAGCCAGTGCTGAACAATGGCACTGAAAGTATGAGTTGTTATATTGTGTATACTGATGGAGAATATAGTAGGATGTGAACATTGCATGAAGAGGAAAGAGCTCAGTAACACAATAGCAGTTTTTACATCGAAGCCCATCACCTTGAAAAGCAACGCTAATATGTGTAATAGTAATGAGTAATACAGCTCATGCTATATAAACATGCCGTGGTGATTCACCATTTGTGGAGATTAGATGATAAGAACTACTAGGCTGGATTAATTTTGTTTCTTTTTGTATTTGTGATTTTTTTTTTGACAGATTGCAGTTTTCTTTAATTTACTCTTTGTTCAGAATGATTTGACAAGTGGCATCTATGAAATCTGTTTGGCTGGTGGTGTGTTCAAGCTGTTCATGAGGACTTGTGCAGTGTGAAATCAAAGCTGTTTTCTTCAGATTGTCACGAGCATGTTCTTTGGCTGGATGAAGAGTCCTCTCAGAAACAGGATGTTGGTGTAAAGAAATTAAATTCACCTTTGTGGAACGGATATTCAGCAATCTTTTAATAAAATTTTTCTATTATAGTGGCTATTCCTGATGGTAAGATTGTTTGCCAGAGAGGTTGGAATAAACAGTACAAACTGGGTGAAAAACACTGTCAAAATTAACTGCTTTACAAATGTAAAAATACATTCATTGAAATTTTTTTTTGCACTTGCTTTGTTCTAACACCTCCCATGGATCCAGACAAGGAAAGTTATCTGATAAGCAGAAAGGTTTTTTTTTTTAATATTTTGGAGATGGTTGGGTTTGCAGTAGCAAAAAGGGATTTTAAGGTCCCATCTGAAAAGTGGTTTCCTACCCATGTGACTATTAAGCAGTGGTAAAACCAGGAGTCCTTTGCTGTCTCAAAATTTGGGAAATAACAAAATGAATGGGAGAGTGGTTTATTGTGGCTAATCCCAAACTTTCTAATTCGTTTATCAGAACCCAAAACTTGAAAATGTTTTAATCAAACATTTGGCATTTGGATTTGCAAAAAAACCCCCAAAAACCAAAAAAAACCCCAAACAAACAAAAACCCAAACCAAACCAAAACAAAATCCAGTTTCCAGAGCAGCTAAATACAAGTTAGGGTAAAAAATTCCATACAGCCCTACCAACAACACACACCCCAGTTTTCATTTGCCTTGCTGCTGCAAGAGACCCACCATGTTGCAGCTGGAGATATTCATCCATCTTATTTAACCCAGACACAGAGACATGAAATACCAGCATTTCAAGTAGGTCATTGGTTGTAATTTCCTCAGTGCATCGCTGAAGTCACTTCACTGCTTCTGTTGAGGAGTTCCTGTTGATGCTCCTGCTCACAGGAGCATCCCTCCTCCCTTTACCCTCCTGCAAGGACTCTGAGCATCGCCGTGGCCATGGTGCCCATCCTTGATGCCCTTCCAGCTCCTGCCTTTAACATGTTGGTCTTCTCTCCCCAGCTATCGACCTGTTGTACTGGCGTGACATCAAGCAGACGGGGATTGTGTTCGGCAGCCTCCTGTTGCTGCTCTTCTCCCTGACCCAGTTCAGCGTCGTCAGTGTCGTGGCTTACCTGGCCCTCGCTGGCCTCTCGGCCACCATTAGCTTCAGAATCTACAAATCGGTCCTACAGGCTGTGCAGAAGACAGACGAGGGCCACCCCTTCAAGTGAGTGTTTTGCAGTCATGGCCAGGGGCCGTTTATCTTGCAAAGGATCCATTCCCAGTGGCAATTCACATTTCTTTAGCTGCCGCTTTTATACTAGATAAAAGTCTTTTCTTGCTCATAGCAGGGGAAATAATTTTTTTCTGGTTTTCGGTGTCTCAAGAGCTGCAAGGCTGTATTGGCTCAGATCCTGGGGGACAAAAAAAACCAACACAAAAGCCATCATGCTCTGAGACATGGGAATTTTTTTTCCTGACATGCAAAAGATCCAGAAAACTTTTACCAAACAGAGAAAAAAAGAGTTTCATTAGAACTAGTAATAATACATTATCTCTGCAAGCAGGAAGACTGTTGTTTCTGGGCACACTCTTTTTGGCACAGAGGGAAACTATTTATATCTTTTCTCCGTCACTGCTTGGCTGTGATGTGGCAGTTCATTACCGTAGGTGACAGTGCTGGTGCCAGTGCTGGTGCCCATCCCACTCTCCACAGGATCCGGGTGGTTTGCTCCAGGAGAGCAGCAATACTTTCTCCTCTGCCCTGACAACAAGTTGGTAAACCAGGTCATGGAACCAGTCTGGTTTGCAAAAACACACTGAAAAAAGGTCTTGCTGGGGTGCTGCTCCTACTGTTTCACTTGGGTTGGTTCTGAGATGTGACTCACATGGGCATGGCTTGGAGGTGCAGGGTGGGTGGAGGGATGGAGGAGAGGAAAGGGGACATTGCTGCCGAAGGTGACATGTGGCCAGCTTTTGTTCATGGAGAGGCTGCCAGCTGGAGGAGATGTCCCCTTCTGCAGCAGGAGTGTTGCACAGAAGTTTGTGGGGAACCACCCGCCCCCAGCTAGGAATTGCACCCTCCTTCAGGTGAAGCAAAGAGGGAGATCCCATCAAGACCAGACTGTGTGTGGGGAGAGGGCAAGGCTGGGGGCAGACAGCCCCAGCGCAGCCTGCAAGTGTCCAGGGACATGGGTCACGCCAGGCGAAGACAACGTGTGTTGGTGGCTCTGTGCCTGCAGGAAGAGGGACAGGTTGCTCCAGTGCAAAGAAATGAGGTCTGGGGAGGAGGGAGTGATGGGGTAGACAGGCACGAGCATGAACAGCAGGTGAATCTGCTGGGTTTGTAACTGGACTTGTGTTTCTGGCAGAGCCTACTTGGAGATGGAAATGAATCTTTCACAGGACCAGATTCAGAAATACACAGACTGCCTCCAGCTATACGTCAACAGCACAGTCAAAGAGCTGAGGAGACTCTTTCTCGTTCAGGACCTTGTGGATTCTTTAAAAGTAGGATTGCTTTAAATATTTTTAACCCATCTCTAGAGGATCAATCTACATTTCAAAGCGCTGCTTCCCATGTTGACAGTGTCATCATAAAACCTAGTTTTGTGTAGCTCCAAATATAAAAGTAGCTCTCCTTTTTGATTTCCCAACTGCTTACTTCCAGCAGTTTAGAGGCTTGTCTATCTGCATTTGAATTTATTGTTCTGTAATACAGGAGTTATAGAAGTTGCAGGCCTAGCTTAGCTCCACTGCAGTTCTAGAAGCATTTCAGCATTATGCTTTCTATGACTTTGCCACAAAATGGTGCGGTCCCGTCTGATGCCTCTGTTAATTGGGATTTCCTGTAATGGTGGCATTTCCTGTTACAAAGGTCTTCTTTTCCTCTCTGCTGAGATAATTATTTATTTTCAGCCTTACAGTCAAGTAGGTGTTCTTCAGAGCAAAGGGAAGATTGTTAAGAGAGCAGACATGAGTTAGGCTCCTAATTACTAAAGATTTTTAGAAAAATGTACCCATCTCCCAGCCTCAAGAGTTTTCAGTCACTTTCATTATCACTGCAGGGCTGTGATTAGCCTGTAGAATGACCCCTGCCATCATCAAAATTGGATGCAGAGATCTGCCTATGCCGTGCTCAATGCAGAGTCCTAAATGTATTCAATTAAGCCCTAAATATGCATGAAAGCTCAGCTAAGAGGGTGAGAAGCAGTGAACAGCAGAACAGATAATGGGGTTTATACACCCAGAAAAAGTACCTAACTCCTAATATGCATTACTTAACAAGTCCCCTTACACATAAAAAAAGGCTAATGTGCTTTTATATTAGCTAGTTAAGTGAACTAATTCCTTATTCTGACACTGGAGGTGATGTAATGATCTGTCTTTAATTTAGTTTGCAGTACTAATGTGGCTGCTGACTTACGTGGGAGCCCTCTTCAATGGCTTGACTCTTCTGATAATGGGTAAAAATCAACATTTCTTTTAAAATCTATTTTTAACTTTAACTCCCTCGTGATCTGTGCTTAGACAAAACAGCCTGTCCTCATTGTGCCTAATCCACAGTTAAACTATCAACTTTTATTTCCCTTTCCAGTAAATATTCGTTATTCTCACTGCATTGTCCCTCCTGCTAGAACTAATTCGTGTTTTATGGTTTTGCAGCCACTAGTCCCAGAGCAATGGGAAATCTCATATTTGGGAGGTTTGATCAAAGTTCATTTTTAATGCAAAGATCCCTGGTGGATCAGCTGACCCAGCGGCATGATACGTGTTTGTTGCTGTGTGAAGTAGGTCTCTTCTCTGGAGGGATTTGATGGGCAGGAATATAACAGTGTGCTCTTTTTCTCCTCAGCTGTGGTGTCTATGTTTACTCTCCCCGTTGTATATGACAAGTACCAGGTAAGTCTGTCTGCACGCTGTAGTTCAGGTTTCTGCGTGGTTCTGCCTCGATGCTTGATTGACTTGGTCTCGTTTTGTTCTTTGCAGGCACAGATCGATCAATACCTGGGGCTGGTGCGGACCCACATAAACACTGTTGTGGCAAAGTGAGTTCAGCAGCAGACTTCACCAGAAGTTGCAGTGCACTGGGGGTGGCTAAGAGCTGGGTGGTCCTGGGGATGATGTGTCCTGTGAATGATGTCCTCCCCAGCTCTTGGCACGCAGGAGCCTGTGGGAAGGTGGACCCCTGGAGGGACACAGTCCTTGTCATCTGAGTGTAGACTGGGGCAGAGCTGTGACCCTGCATCCTTCTCTCTCCTCTCCTGTGTTTTGGGGAGCTGTGGACAGAGCAGCCCAACCAGCGACTGATGTCCAGACTTTTACCTGGAGAAGACAGACAGAAGGAATGTGTTAATTCCCTTCCCCACTGATTGCCCCAAAACTGGGTTTTTGCATTCAGGGACTCTGTCCTTTAGAGTTAATAATACCGTTAATGAACAGAGTAGGAATTAGAACACCACCCTGTTACAGAAAGAAAATAGCTGGAAGCACCATAGGATCATAGAATGGTTTGGGTTGGAAGGGACCTTAAAGCCCATCCAGTGCCACCCCCTGCCATGGGCAGGGACACCTCCCACCAGCCCAGGTTGCTCAAAGCCTCATCCAGCCTGGCCTTGAACCCCTCCAGGGATGGGGCATCCACAGCTTCTCTGGGCAACCTGGGCCACTGCCTCACCACCCTCACAGTAAATAATTTCTTCCTAATATCTAATCTAAATCTATTCTCTTTCAGTTTAAAGCCATTACCCCTCATCCTATCACTACATGCCCTTATAAAAAGTCCCTCTCCATCTCTCCTGTAGCCCACTTTAAGGGCCTCCCTGGAGCCTTCTTTTCTCCGTGCTAAACAACCCCAACTCTCTCAGCCTGTCCTTGTACAGCAGGTTCTTGAGCCCTCTGACCATCTTCCTGGCCCTTCTCTGAACTTGGTCCAACAGGTCCATGCCCTATGTTTGTGGCCCCAGAGCTGGATGCAACACTCCAGGTGGAGTCTCAGGAGAGCGAAGCAGAGGGGGAGAATCCCCTCCCTCGACCTGCTGGTCACGCTTCTTGTGATGCAGTCCAGGACACTATTGGCTTTCTAGGCTGCAAGCGCACATTGCTGGCTTCTCGAGTGGCACATTGCCATGATCTTGAGTGTTTCAAACCACCATGGAACGGATGGAAGACCTGTATGAAATTTTTGATGCAGTCTGCTCTAGTCCCTAATGCATTGGCTTTATCAAAAGGTTTTCTGGCATCCCCAAGGGCACAATGAGGGTCTAAGTATAGTTCTTGACACTCAAGAATTAATGAAGCAGAATGGCTGGAGTAGAAGGTACATCCCTATGTCTCAGCAGTTTGCATCCATGGCTTTTGCAAAGGCTGGCTGAATAACAGGTATCCAATGGAAGGTTACAAAATGGTGAGGCACAGGGAGAAAGTGACCCACAGGGAGATGCTGAGGAAACTGGGCTTGTTTAGCCTGGCAAGGAGGGAGCTGAGGAGTGATTTCATAGCAGCCTACAAGTACTTGATAGGAAGTTACAAAATTATTGAGCCAAACTCTTCTCAGGTGCATATAACAAGGAACAACAACATAAATCCAGCTTAGGATGTTGATGTTGGACATTAGGAGAAACATTTTCACTAGGAGATTAGGACAGCACTGGAGCAGGCTACATGAGAAGGTGCCAGAACATCCTTCCTTGGAGGTTTTCAAGATGCAGCAAGACAAAGCTGTGGCTGACCTGATTTAGCATTTGGGATTGTCCTGCCTCACGTAGGAAGATGATTTAAAGACTTCCAGAGGTCCTTTCCAGACAATATTTCTGTGATTCTGCAAAACCCTTAGCCTTGGGCAGGACTGAGGGTCTGTACTGAAACATTCTTTGTTTAAACTTCATTCCTGGCTTCCAACAGACAATAGACCATGGCAGAATAACGAAGCGGGGAGAACATCACTGAACTTATGCCGTGGTTACATGAACCACCAAAACCTGGGCCGTTTACAACTAGGGGCCTGTAAGAACACACAGAGGGGCATCACCCCTTCTTCTTACGGACTCTGGTCCACCAGTCGCCACAACACACCAAACACAAGCTAAAGAGATTGTCCCTGGCTAAGACTCTTAAGTGAGTATCCACTGGAATGGAATAGCTGCCTGACCATATAATCCTCCTTTTTTTTTTCTTCTTTATTTCTAGGATTCAAGCTAAAATCCCAGGTGCTAAGAGAAAGGCAGAGTAAAGCAGACATCAGAAATTCGTCAACTACAGCAGTGAACAGGGGAATCTGGAGTGAAACAGCTCTGTTCTTACACTTTACTGCAAATTTATTGTTTTTTTTTTCTCGACACCATAATCTTAGAAACATAAAACTTGGAAGCAGTGCTTTTCCCCTGCTGCTTCTGCACTTAGAATATTTGCAATCACTTGTGTCAAGCACTAAAGTATAGTAAAGAGAAAAGTGTACTAGATGTGGTTTTTTGTGTTGCTTATAAAGTGCATGATGGTGAGAGCCTAAATAATATTGACCTTTTTTTATTTTATTTTTTTAGTGTTTTTCCTTCTTCTATTGGCATTGCTTCTATAACTTCTAATGTCACATGTGGCTAGGGGCTTTCCTGCTTAGCGCACTGATGCAATAGTTAAAATTGCTTCTACGTCACTGGGTTGCTGGTTGGATTCATCTTTATTAACTATATAGAATTGTAGACTGATGTTTTAGTGTTTTCCAGCACAAATAAAATAAACAGTAATCGGTACTTATGGTAATCAGTTTTGTATAACTCAAAAAAATGAGAACAAAACCCAGTACTTTTGTCGCAAGGGATTGACAGGCTGATTTACATGTATGGCAACTGGAAAGTTCCAGCATGTTAAATTTATTACAATTTGTATTACATTCTCTGTAGTTCCTAATGGACTTAATTATGGACTCTGAATATTTGCACTTATGTACTTGATACCGAATGCAGAAATAAATGTTACTAAATGTAGGAGTTCTCCTTTGTGTTGCCACTGGAATTACCAATTTGCAAACTGGACACATAACATGCAAAGAAGCATTTTCTCTCTCTCTCTGGCTCACCTGTTGTGATCCACACACACTTTGCCCTTACAAAATGGTGCAGGCCAAGAAGATCGCCTTCTCTATCTGTTTCACGTCTGGATGAGTAAAGAACAGAAATAAAGATCTTAGCACATAGTTTGGGGTATTTTTTTATCGGTGTTGTTAGAAAATAACAGGAACATGAATAATTGTGTCTTCCTCCGTTTTCACATTGTGCAAATTGTAAGCAACACACTTCAGGAGGGGTCAGCACCACACAGGAATTTTTAGTTTCCTTATTGTCATGGTATTTGCTTACCCAAAGCTGTTCTTTGAAATGTGGTGTAAACTGTGGGATCCATACTGAACCTAGAGGCTAGGAACTGGAATAACCATTTACTCTTGTTCAAAGGTGAAGGTTTTTAAACATTGGCAATTGGTGTTGGAAAACCATCAGGCAGGAGAAACAGCTGTTGAACATTATCTAAAGTGCTTCAAACTAAACAATTGGTTAAGTGCTGAATGATTTGCCCATTTGTGGAACATACTTCTTTTTTTCTATAAAAATGTGAATATCAAAACATTTTCAGCCAAATTGCAGATTTTCTTTTTTCCTATCACAAATGATTTTGTGCAGAACTTATTTTTTCCACAAAGAAATAGATCCTTAAAAACTTATCTCAACTTCTTGGATTGAAGTAATTCCTTAGAGTAATTTAATTTAGCTGCATCTCAGTTTCACATGGACATGGTGACATCTGTCCTAAGTCAGGCTGTAGTTCTGTTTGACTGTGTATAAACGTACAACCCAAATGCACAAGGGGTTGGTAGAAACGTTGGTGTGACTGTGGGCTAGTTAATTCTTGAGAGGAGTCTCAAATACCTTTTTTTTTTATTATTTAAGGTTTGTACTTAAATATTCTGCTTTGCTCTTATTTAAAAATACTAGACTGTCTTTTAAATGTCACCTGCAGGTAGATAGAAACTTTGTTTCTTTTCCAGTGAAAAACTGCATGCCTCAATGTGACATCTGTTGCTTTTGATCAAATGGAATGTGGGTTTTTTTAGCATGTGTAGTTTGAAGCCAGGAATTAAAATTCAACACCTACCCCCAGCATTAATCGCCTCTTAAACTTCCCTACCAGTGCACTGAAGTGGCCAGTATATCCCCTGGGTCTCTAAGGAAGCCTGTGTGAATGTCTGCGAGGATGAAGATTGACTTTCAGAACTTTCATTACTTACAAGATGAGTACATGGGTCCAACAGGTGCATTTTGAAAATGAGCACTTTTAATGTCACATCCCACTGGTCCCATAAAGGTGTTCTTCCTGAGCACTGCCAATGCAGTTATATCCAAGACCAGCCTTTTGCAACGCCAAACCCTAAGGAGGATTTAAATGTTACCTCTCCTGTATACTTGGAAATCAAACAAAATAAAACCTTCTGGCAGAGTCCAAATATTCTGAAGAGCCCAAATCAATAGAGACCAAGACTTGTCTCCTCCAGCATCACCCCCTCTCAACACCCACAGCCCACCCCTCCAGCCCACCATCACCCTAACTGTACCCCTGCACACCCACCTCTCCCAGCCATACCCTTCTATCTTTTCTCAGTTCCCACCTCTCCAACCCAGCTCCCAAACCTCCTTGCAGCCCCCCTGACTTTTCATCTGTTTGGCAGTAACAGCCTGCAAGCAGGCAGCTGCTGAGCAGCTGGGATGGGTTAATGCTGTGGGTGGAACCAATTGGGAAGGTCATGCTGGGATGCACCAGGAGCAGAGGACTTGAGCCAGGGCTGGGATTGCTTGTGCTGCCAATGGCCACTATCACCTTGGTGGGATCACAGTAGCATTTCCCACAATACCTTTGAACATGGAAGCTTGTAAAAAGCCATTATGCCTGAAGCTCCTGTAAGCCTTGTTTGCAAACCTCTGCTAACTCCTGGTCCTGCTGTACAGCTTGCAATGACAGAGCTCCTGTGTGTATAGGGAGTGAAAGCTTGGAATGCCTTTAGTGTTCTCTGGTAAGTCCTAATCCTAGAGCAACACTATGAGGAGGTGTTATACCTCCATCTTTTTTGATTTTCAAATAAGTGAGGAAAAAACAAAACAACACTGAGGTCTATTTCTTAAAATATTTTAGTGTGATTACAGTAGATGGCTGGTGACACCAGGATGACACGTGTTTATGGGCTGTGCTGTGCTGGGGGACACAGGTCGTAAAGCCTTTTTGTTTCTGATCTTCATTTGCATTCAAAGAGCAGCTATAGACAAGCTTGAATAGCAGAAGTGGCAAACTTGTGAGGGTTTCTAGGTGGGTGAAACCTGGGAAGTAGCTCACCCTGCCTGGGTGAAATGCAGGGGAGAGGAGGGCATGAAAGCATTCTTTTCAAAATGTTTCCTGCCAGAGGAACCGGGACATCACTAGTGCTTCAGGAGTCAGGTTGTCCCCCTAGTTCAAAGGCTGCTTTAAGAAGATATGCAAATGAATGGATGTTTTGAAGACCCATCAAACTAAGCGAGGTTGTTCAGGTTGCTGGAGTTAGGTATGTGCCAAAAACCTTTTCTGAGCAGCATCTCTCATCCTCTGTCTCTGGGTAGTTTGAGAGGCTGATAAATCGCTTTCTGGAGAGGAAGCTGAGAGGTTTCTAAGGTGGATGATGTCTCAGCTGGGTGACTTGTTTAGACACAAGGACAGGTCTGGACCAGGCCTTTCCATGGCTGGGAACTGTCTGGCTGATGTGAAGAAGACAGCTGTGTTTTGATGTGCTCAGCATGGTGCTGCCTTTCAGGGAAGAGAACAGGTCTACCTGCTGAGTGTGCCTTGGAAAGCCAGCCCAAATGGCTGTGCTAATTGGAACTGAAACCTGTTTAACTCTGGCTTGGGGATACGGAATCAGGAGTGGTGTGCTGGTGGGAGAAAAGTTTTGTTGGAACATCTACACCTACAACTGTGCCTTTTTTAGGCTCTATGACTTTAAAACATCTTCTCAATGGTTTCACCTGTACTTTCCAGAAACTTTATAAGCCTGCTTCTAAACAGCTGCCTGTTTAGGAGAGGTTCGATAGTTTTTGCAGAGCTCTGTCAGTGCTTTATGTCACTTGAATATCTGTCTATGTACCTTGAAATGGACACTCCATTGGTGGTTTGATGTGAAATGTGAACACTGTCTAACATCGTTGGTTTTCATTCCCTGCTTCTTGCTGCCTCAGCAGTATTCCACTCTTCTAGCTTATGGATTTGACTCTGGGCTGTTACTGATCTCCTTTATGCTTCCTCTGCTCTTTAATATTAATCTAGCAAGAGTAGGATCATGAAACACATCAGTGTCAAGAAAGCCCTGGAATTGTGAGGAGATAAGAACGATATAATGTTCTGTGAGCAGTTAATCCAGTTAAAGACAGTCTATCTTCTTCCCCACAGCTTCTGCTATCTCCCCGTGCGCTTTCAGATGGCAGCTGGCTCCCATCCCTGTCCTGGTAGGTTACAACTCAGTCAACTGTAAGCTTATCAGCCTTTCATTCTCCATCTGGGCCCAGGGAAATATGTGGCAAGCCCATGTGTTTGCCCAGTGCAGCTCTGCAAACACCAAATGTGATATATTTCTTCCTGGCTCTTCTTAATAGATTATTTTCTCAAGCACAGAATTAAAAGATGCTCCATCAGTGAACTTGCACACAAGCTTCCTGGGATGCTGGGGATCAGAGGAGTGAGGCTGCTGGCATGAAGGAGCCTGGTAAGACCTGCTGGCACATGCAGGCACTGCGGGACATATGGTATTTGGATAAGGGTGAGACGTGTCCACTGATAAAAGTGTCAATAGCTGCAGTGCCTGAAAAAGGGAAGGAGGAATGGCTTCTCTTTATTTCTGCCAGGCTTTCTTGCTGCTCAGCAACTTTACAGGAGAGAGTGGCAAAAACCCACTCTCTGCCACGGGAGGGGGAAGATGCTGAGAGTGAACGATCCTTCTCCACAGGAGGTGACTGTAAGTACATACGTGAGCTTGAGCTGCTTCTGTCTCCTATCTGAATTGTTCATTTTCTTGTCTTTGGTGAATGGTCAGCTCACCGTTTGTTGGTGCTCTCCTCCGGTCAGCATCTAATCTGAGTAATTGCGGGCTAGCAAGTCAGATACCTTTGACTTGCCACTTCTACAACTCTGCTGTCTTCTTTGTGTGGGTCATTGGGGGCGGATGAGAACCAGAAAGGGCACCTGAGCCCCCCGAACCTGCTGCAAGCCCAGCTATCCACCACCTCCCTAGCTGCCCCAGAAGGAGTGCTAAATCTACAGAGTTATGATCTGGGGGGCATCATTGTGTGCATGCAAGGTGAGGTAACGGGCAGAGAAGTACACGGTGAGACTGTTCTGTCTGGCACTCTGCAAGCCCCCGTTGACTGGGATGTGCCCCTCTCTGCGCTGCCTGTGTTCCCATCTGCCCGTCCACTCCTGCTCTGCCTCAGCCAAAATGCTGGGAGATGCTAAAGGGACCGGGATTGGAATAAGAGAACAGAATAGAACTTCAGAAGGAGTCTATCTAAGAAAAATAGAAGACAAAGTAGCCCTGTGCTGACATGCTTTCATTGCTTTTCCCTCCTGTCTGCCCCTTAACTAGCAAGTTATTTCTCACATTCACTGAATATCAGAGTGGTTCAGCCTCAAGGCTGCAGTCTGTGCCTCCTCAGGGCTTTTTTTGTTTAAGTTTAAAAAAGTAATTCAGTCCAGTGAAGCTAATTGTCATTCACAGCAAGGCCCTTCTGCATTTATTTCCCTTTATGAAGGAGCTGTAAAGAGGATATTAGTTACATTTTCACTTTTTTCTTACAACCCTCTAATTTAGCTAAAGTGATATAAAGTAGCCCAGACCAGTCCAAAAATGTCTATGTGACAAAAAATGGATGTAACATCCAGACAGATCTCCAGAGCAGATGTCTTTACACAAAATATTCCC